GTGAGCGGCCCCTTGGTTTGTAATCCTCATTTCTTACGCCCCTATCAGCTCCTATTACCACATGTCAATTCCGGTTAACCCACCAATAATACTGACATCCGGCCTTCTACATCACTTCTTTGAACAACTCATTTTTGTTATTGTGACCCGCGCCTTGAATTTTGTTACCCTCCTTTTTATGGGTGTCCGAGGAATTTGAATAGTCGACAGTGTCGCATTTTGCAAAAATCACAGGTGCTCCATAGAGTCGAAATCAGGTTGTATGGCGCGCACCTCCACCCCGAACAGCGCGAATTTTTTTTTCTGGCTTTCACGTTTTTTTCTTTATTTTTGTCAATGATTTCGCTTTGCTTGCTTAACTTTGCTTCTATCCACAACTTTGCACCCTTGACACCTTTTATCGATTTGAGGTGTTAAAAAGTAATTATCTTACGGAAACTACTTCAAAATGCACCAGTAATGTTGCCCCACCATGTTACTGCATAATTATCCGAATCAGATGCTGCTACTAACAACCGAAGAGTAATGTCCTTACGTTGATGTCGTAGTATCCTAAAACTCCGTTCATGCGCAGTGCATCGCTGGTGTCAATCTTGAGAATTTTCCCATGAGCTACCGTTGAAAGGACCACACCACCATAAACAACATCTGGAAATAACAGCGTAGAACAAACTAGTGAGTAGTAAACACCATATAACTTGTTTACGGTGACGTGTGCCACAGAAGAACAGGGTTACAGGTTTTTCCATCAAGGTCTTCACTTTTCACCTTTGCACCCCGCTGAAAACTGCAAACTTTTTTCTTTTCTACCGCAGAGCGAACGAAACTAGGAGGGGGATGAGGAAGGAAAGAGAATGATCCACCTGATGGTGAAGAGGCAAAAGGATCGTGATGCCTTTTTGCTTCACTCTTTCTCAAACTAAACATATCCCATGAACAGGGCAGCCACCGCCTCCTTCACATGGGGTACGTAGTCACGCCTACCGCATCTCAGGGAATCGCGCTATACGGATTTTTGTCAAGCCATAGCTAACATCGGAGGGTAGAGTGGGTTATTTCCAGGTAAGCAGTTGCGGTCACGGCGACGGCTGCAGAATCTGTGCCGACTTTTTTCTCTTATAATTTCGTCTCTGGCCGTCTGGACACTCTGTGCCGCCGCCGGCGGTACCGGGAAACGCCCCCTGTTGCCCTTCGATACGGACCGTACGATTACCGCTAAGAGCTATAAGAGCGGACTAAATAAGGATGCCTTCACTCATATTACCTTTCACCTTCATATCATTGATGTAGAGCGCTTCACCAGTCGTAAACG